TCCCCTCCTTGACTGCTCCCAACCCCCTTTTTTCAGAATCCCAGCAGTGAGCTCTCTGTGCCTAAGTTCTGCAGCAGTTGCTACTGTTCCCCTTTTACGGGTGGCAGGGAGGGCAGACGGGTCATAATCTGATCGCTTTCCTTGTTGTCTGACACCCCGGAGAAACCACATGTTCCGTTCGGTGGTCGTCAGAAATAGCATGCTTAAGCAACCTGGAATTATAAAACTGCTTAATTAGAGAGAGATGGTTTCACTGGGATATGCCTGGTTTTCCCCGGTGGTTTTACCTCCTCTCCAAGTGGCCGGCCCCCCAGCAGCTAATTGCTGGCTTTAGCACTCTCTCCCTTTATTTTATTTTCTGCGACATCAGGGCTTGCCTATGAAGAGAAGTACTCTCTTCCATGTTCCAGCTCTCCTCTGTCAGCAAACTCTAGATGTTGACCTGAGTAATAAGGGTGGAAAATCTTACACTTCAGAGGTCTCTAGCTCTTAAATAAGCACCTTCTGTGTGCTGCGTGCTGGGAATATGACCAGGAACCAAATTATCTTCATGCTAATGGAGCTTACGGTCCAGTGGGAGAGAGAGATACTGAAGTAATTTTTTTAATATTGTGAGAAGTGCTCTAAGGTGATTTAAAGGGTGTAACAGGAGCCCTTAATTTAATTAAGGGGTTGGGGAAGGCTTCTTATAGGAGGTGACAGTTAGCTGAGACCCAGAAGATGAACAGGTGTTAGCTCGGCAAAGAGTAGGGGACTACTAGTCCACCTACAGAGGAAGAGCTTGGTCTACATAGCAGAGCACCTGAAAGAAGGGCCAAGAAGCTGGTCCCTGAGCCTTCTCTGAAATTCTGGGGATGTATTGGAGTCCCCATCATGACTTGACTTATCTAGGTTCTGATGTTATAGACCAGGGGTTGTTAAACCACAAGCTGCAGATCAAATATGCCTCGCAACATCTGTGTTTGTAAGTAAAGTTTTATTGGAACACAGCCATGCCTATTTGTTTACCTATTGTCGATAGCTGAGGGAAATGGTGGTGACAGAGGCTGTATGACCTCAAAGCCAAAGTATTCACTATCTGGCCCTTTGCAGAAAAGGACCCACGCGTTAGGTGAGTGGGAAGCTTGGGGTCTGGGCCAGGAGACCAGCCTGCAGCTAGTAGAGCCTGAGAACTGGGGGATCCAAAGACAGTGACCAAGGATCAGTAATAGCAAGGTGGTTGGCAACAGGATCTGACACCAGGCTGTCTGGTTCCCGAGCTACACTCTTAACCACCAAGCCAGGCTGGTTGTGCAAGATTAGCCTGAGAGGGGACAGCAGGGTCTGTCTCCAGAGTCAACCAGATGCCAGCATGCAGGGGTTTCAAGAGACACAGGGACATAGGACCTTTCATGAGGTGGTCATGGCCTCAACCACCATGAGGCCAGGAGGACAAAGGAGGAGGCTGCCCAGCAAGATGGCCAAAGATTGACCATCCTTTCCATCACCTCTGGGCTGCTGGAATACCTTTCTTTCCTCATCCTGCCCATATTACTTCACTGCCCTTGTTCCACTTATCCATTGAAATAGTGCTCCTCAAACTTGAACGTGCACACACATCACCTGGGAACCTTGTTAAATTGCAGATTCTGATTCAGCAGGTCTCGGGTGACGTTCCAGTTCTGCAAGTTCAGACATTGGGGTGAGTGGATGACTGGATGTCTTTCCTTGGTCCTTAGCAGATGTGGATACATCTGCCTCAATGAGTCCTCTTCCAAGCGACCTGTCCTCAGCCCATCAAGACAGAATATAATGGGGTAGTTATAAGTCTCTGTCCACATTCTGTACATCATCCATTTGATGGATACACAACACTTTTTTGTGTTTTATAAATTTATTTATTTGGTGTTTTTTTTTTGTCTGAGTTGGGTCTTCGTTGCTGCGCGTGGGCTCTCTCCAGTTGCGGCGAGCGGGGCCTACTCTTCACTGCGGTGCTCAGGCTGCTCATTGCGGCGGCCTCTCCTGCTGCGGAGCACGGGCTCCAGGCACGCAGGCCTCAGTAGCTGTGGCATATGGGCTCAGTAGTTGTGGCACACGGGCCCAGTTGCTCCATGGCATGTGGGACTTTCCCAGGCCAGGGCTCGAACCCGCGTCCCCTGCATTGGCAGGCAGACTCCCAACCACTGCGCCACCAGGGAAGCCCCACAATGCATTTTTATAACTTTTTTCTCCCTCTAGTTTAAGCACTATGCTCAGTACAAAAAAAAAAAAAAAATGGAAAAAGCAGAAAACCACAACGAAAATGAGTAGTTTCTGCATTCTGTATCTTTTCCACTTGGAACTATAATATGAGCACTTCCCTGAATCAATAGATATCCTTCACCAGGATGATTTCTTTTCTAACTTTTTCTTTTGAAATAACTTTAGACTTAGAGAAAAGTTGCAAAAATAATACAGAGTTCCCATATATCCATCACCCAGCTTCCCCTAATATTAACATCTAATATAACCATAGTGCGATTAGCAAAGCCAGGAAATTCACATTGGTACCGTTATTATTAACTAAACTACAGACCTTATCACATTTTGCCAGTTGTTCCACAAACGTCTTTTTCCTGGTCTAGGATCGAATCTAAGATCCCACGTTGCATTTATTTGTCATGTCTCCTTAGTCCTCTCTAATCTAACAATTCCTTGGTCTTTTCTTTGTCTTTCATGACCTTTACACTTTTGAACAATGCTGGGCAGTTATTTCGTAGAATGTTCCTTAGTTTGGCTTTGTCTCATTTTCTTATGATTCAATTGAGCTTGTATGTTTTTGACCAGAATACACAGGATGATGCTGTATTTTTCTCAGGGCATCTTATCAGGGGTTTAGGCTTCAATATGACTTATTACTGGCGATGTTAACCTTAATCATTTGGTTAAGGCAGTATGTAGTGGATTTCTTCACTGCAAGGTCACTCCTTTTCAGGATGATAGTTGATTGGCTGTATGGCTTTGCATTATTGATCCCTACCATAACCAGACCCTCTTTTTGCACATTTAGTTTGTTACCTGTTTTTGTTTGTACTGTTTCAAAGAATGCTGCAGTGGCCATTCCTACTGGCATATCTATTAGCACATATCCCTGATTATTAGGATAAATTCCTAGAAGTAGAATTGCTGGAGCCAAGATTATTCACATCTTTAAGGCTATGTATGCTTGGGGCGGTACTATTTGTTTCTATGTTTGTTTATTTGTTTCAGTCAACTTTATTGAGGTGTATAACATTGTATATCTGTACAAGAAAATGCATAGATTTGAAGCACACGTTTCAGTGAGTTATGGCAAATGTATACCCACGTGTAACCACCACCCCCATCACTATATAAAATATAAAATTTACATATACAACCTACAATTTCTTTCATTCCCCAAAATTCCTTGACGCCCCCTTGCACTCTTTCCTCCCCCAGCTCACTCCATGCAACCACTGATCTTATTTCCATCAGTGCAGTTTATTTTTTTTAACTTTATTTTTTATCTTTGGCTGCATTGGGTCTTCGTTGCTGCGCACGGGCTTTCTCTAGTTGCGGCGAGCGGGGGCTGCTTTTCGTTGTGATGCGCAGGTTTCTCATTGCCGCAGCTTCTCTTGTTGCGGAGCACTGGGCTCTAGGCGCACGGGCTTCAGTAGTTGTGGCACACAGGCCCAGTAGTTGTGGCTCGTGGGCTCTAGAGAGCAGGCTCAGTAGTTGTGGCACACGGCTTAGTTGCTCCACCGCATGTGGGACCTTCCCGGGCCAGGGCTCGAACCCGTGTCCCCTGCATTGGCAGGCAGATTCTTAACCACTGCACCACCAGGGAAGTCTTCAGTGCAGTTTTATGTTACCTATTCTAGGACTTCATATTAATCAGAATTACACACTATGTACTCTTTTGTATCTGTCTCCTTTGACAGAAGAGAATGTTTGAGATTCATTCATGTTGCTGTGTATTGCAAACATTTGTTCCTTTTTTACTGCTGAGTAATATCCTATTATATAAATATACCACAATTTGTGTATCCATTCTTCCATTGATGGACATTTGGGCTGTTTCCAGTTTGAAGATATTATGAATAAAGCTGCTGTGAACATTCGCCTACAGATGGACATATGTTTTCATTTCTCTCAGGTGCACACCTGGGAGTGGAATTACTGAGTCCTAAGCAGGTGTCTGTTTAACTTTATTAGACACGGCAGGATGGGTTATTTTCTTGTCCATTTTATAGCACAGGCTCCAGAAAGCTTGAGGGACTTGAGTAAAAGCCAAAAGAGGAAGAGAAAGAGAACGCTAGATGCTTTTCCTGTTTATTTCCTTTAATCTTCAGAGCCACCCTAGAAGGTAGCAGTTGTGATTCCTATTCTGTAGATGAGCACAGTGAGGCTCACGAACATGCAGCAAGATAAGGTTCTGAGTCCCCCAGGTCTGAGAACCCAAGTCCATGTTCTTTCACCAGATATGATCCTGCCTCCTTGGAGACAGTAGGTGGGGCAGCTGGGAACGAGAACACGTCTTCCCCCCTCTCCTCTTCTCTGCCTATCCTTCCTGCATCCTGTGGTCCACCCTGCCCATGCCACTGAGGGCAGTCACCCTCGATGCCTGGGTCAGCCCCCTAGAGATGAGAGTGATCTGAGTGCAGGGCCAGGGACTGTGCCCCCGTGATTGGCTTTGAGCCCTCAAAGCCACAGCAGGCACCAGGGAGTGACCCACACTCCAACCCTCGGCCAAAGGTGTCCAGTTTCTCCCTTCCTGAGACGCGATCCCCAGAGTGCTGATCTACTGGGCTGGTGGGCAGCGGGTGAGGGCAGCGGGCAGGGGCCGTGTCTCCCCGGCCACATTGCAGGCCCATTAGAAGCAGGCCTGAGTGCTTTACAAAGCTGATTAATGGGCTGCCTGTGACCTGGAATGTCATTACTCCCTGGGCTGGGGGGCCCCCCAGCTGGGTCCTTGGGGTCTTTACTGCTAATAATAATTGATGCTTTCTTTGTGGTTGCAGGGAAAGTTCTATCTGGTCATCGAGGAGTTGAGCCAGCTGTTCCGATCACTCGTTCCCATCCAGCTGTGGTATAAATACATCATGGGTGACGATGCCTCCAACAGCTACTTCCTCGGAGGGGTCCTGATCGTTCTCTACAGCCTCTGCAAGGTGAGGTGGCCTGGGGGAGGCTGGAGGGCTGGCCTGAGGAAGACCCACTCACTAGCTGGGCCTGGCGGCGAGGGCAAGTGGGGAGCCTCTTTGTTTAATTGAAAAATTAAATTCACACAACACAAAATTAACCACTAACCATCTTATAGTGAACAATTCAGTGGCATTTAGCAGATTCTCAGTGTTGTGCCACTACCACCTCTGTCTAGTTCCAAGACACGTTTATCACCCCCAAAAGCAACACTGTACCCGTGAAGCAATCACTCTTCTTTCCTCCACCAGTGCCTGGCCACCACCGGTCTTCTTTCTGAAGACTCTATGAATTTACCTTTTCTGGACATTTCACATAAATGGAATCATACACTACGTAACTTTTGGTGTCTGGCTTCTTTCACGTAATAGCATCATTTCCGAGGTTCCTCCACGTTATAGCATATATCAATACTTCAGTCCTTTTTATGGCTACAGCCATCCTAGTTTCTTGCCCATAAACCTCACCATATGCCATCATTTCATGCTGTCCTCTTCACAGCAACCCTTCAAAATACATACCATTATCACTCCTAGATGATGGGCGAGGGTACTGAGGCTCAGGGAGAAGTAACTTGCCCAGCATCACTCAGCTAGTGATCACAGAACAAATGTCCAAGTCTGGAGCTCTCAACCCACCGACGACACTGCTACAGAATTTGTTTTCTGTTCCTCTTCAGTTGCACACCCTCAGCTCTGCAAATCAGTATGCCGTGCTTCTCTTTTCATCATTAGTACAAATCAGGTTTTCCTCCCTAACAACAAACACATCCTCCTCTTTCTTTTCCCTTATCTATTTAAGGCTTTAGAGAATTCTGGAGGAATGCATGTGTTCCCTTTCCTTCCTCCAAGCAGGACTAGCCAGGCAACCCATGCACTGTCAACCACTGGGGCTTATTTTGCCTGCTGATTCTGATCTGCTGGCAGTGGCTGACTGGAGTGCTGGACAGAGAAGAATGATTATGCTCTAACTCAGAAGAAGAGTGCTGTGATCAATTAGCAATGCCTGCCCGGGGCTTGGGAGGGGGAAAAGACAGTAGGCATGCCATATATTTGCTATCCTGGCCCCACTGGCAGGGGAGACTGCTGATGGAAGGCAGCAAGACAAAAGCCAAGCAAAACTGAGGGGAATGAGGAGTTTCAAATGGGAGGATGTGCCCTGAAAATGTCTGGAGTCAAAGATGAGGAGGGTCCATGGTGGTTGTTCAGGAATGGTGAAAGAGATCCCGAACAATCCTTGGATACTTTTCAGCCATCACCTCGCTCTTCTTTCAGTCTTTCGACATTTGTGGCCGCGTGGGTGGAGTTAGGAAAGCGCTGAAGCTTCTCTGCACCTCTCAGGTGAGTTGGCTTCTGATGGTCCTGACCGAGGGCACAGGAGCCAGGAGCCGGAAACAGACCTTGCTGTGCTTCTGAGGGTGTCTCTCCAGCGAGGGACCACAGCTGTGTCTGTGTCTCTCTCCCTTCCATCAAACAGAATTATGGAGTCCGGGCCACTGGGCAGCAGTGCACAGAAGCTGGTGATATCTGTGCTATCTGCCAGGCTGAGTTCCGAGAGCCTCTGATCCTTATGTGCCAGGTGAGCAGGGCTGGGCGGGGCCGTTGGAGACGGAGGTTGGGGGAAAGCAGGGCCCTGCCCCATGCAGAAGTCCCAAGTGCCTGCATGGGGCGCTTGACCAAAACCAAATGACCAAACCCTGGGGCTCTGGGATGGGTCTTTGGGAACAGTGTAGTCAAGGCTGGAGTCCCTCAGACCCAAGGTCAAATCTCAGTTCTGCCTTTTACCAGCTGGCTGCCCTTGGGCAGGTTCACTTCACCTCTCTGAGCTTTGATTTCAGTGGTAAAATGTAGAAAATGAAAATTTCAGTAGGGTATAGCGTCAGAATATCCTGAGTTTGAATCTCAGCAGCAGTGTGGACCCCGAGTGGCTCAGTCCATCTCCCTGAGCCTTGGTCGTTTTCATTTATAAAATGGGTATCATAATAATGCCTACTTTATAGAGTTATTATTATGATTAAATGAGATCATCTCTGGAAAGAGCTAAATTTTAATTATTCAGCCCTAAAACTTATGATTATTACAGTTATTAGTATCATTATAATTATTATTACCATTTGTTTTCGTTATTAGTTGTGGGTCACCAACCCATAGTAGTCAGTACTGGTCAGTTACCTTTAACTGCCTAAATGTATCCCTTTGCCTCCTCCCGGCTCTCCCCCTCCCCCTCCTCCCGACATCAGGGGCTAAGGTGTCAATTCAGCAAATGTGTATGAGTCAAAGCATCCTATCAGATACGGGGAGGGGAGGCAGAGGGCACATAGACCCTGTCCCCTTCTCTAGAACACACGGCCTCCTTGGGGAAACAGACGCATACATAAATAACTATGAAACAAGGCAGGCAGTGGTAAGTGCTGTGTAAGAGAGAGTCATGCAGTGTCCCAGGGGACCAGGCCAGAGAGCGATGAGTTGGAGGCTGAGAAGATTTTGGGGGAGGCGTAGCCTGCAGACTAGAAGGAATGGGAGAGCATAGGGCTCCCCCGCACCTTCCAGGGGTAGGAGGACAGGAGGTGGGGTCCTCTTTTGGCATCAGCAAAATTTCTTTGGTTTTGCTGTTTGGTGGTGTTTAGGAGGTTCGTTTTTTAATCTTTAACTGTACTTATTTTTAAATTGAGAATAAATTTGCGTGACTCAAAAATTCAAAAAGGAGATGAAGCAGTCACGATGACTAAATGCAGTGTGGGACCTGGAACAGAGAGAGAACAGGAGAGAAAAACTAGCCTCATGAAATCTGAAGAAAGTCTGGAGTTTAGTCCATGGTCATGCATCTATGTGGATTTCTTAGCTTTGACAAATGTACCTACCACGGTGATGCAAGAGGATAATACTAGGGGAGACTGACACTGGGTGAGGGGTAATACAAGAACTGTCTGTACTACCTTTGCAACTTTTCTGTAAGTCTAAAATTATTCCAAAATAAAAAGTTCATTAAAAAAATATTTTAAACATACAAAAAGGGAAGGGGTGACAGGGTTCCTACCCTTATCCCCAGCTCCCTAGGCCCCTAAATACCCACACGGGCAACTGGGCCAGTTTCCTTTATATCTTCCCAGAGATGCTTTGCAGAATTTAAATATATATACACACACATATACACAAACATATCTTTTCCAAAAAGACATAAGTTGCGGCACATTCTACCCAAACCGCATTCTGCATCTTTTCTTTTTGACTTGAAACTCTGCCTGAAGAGATTGTTCCTTATTTGTGTAACATCCCATTTTATGGATAGACCATAATTTGTTTAACCATTCTCCTATTGATGGGCATTTAGCAGTTCATAATCTTTTGTTATGACAAATATGGCTGTTGTGAGAGATCAGGAATAGGGAGATCTATAGCACCTACCTGGACTCATCGTGTTGATTAAATGAGTTAATTCAGGTGAAGCATTTAGGACCATGCCTGGTGCGTGGTCAGGGTTCCGTAAATATTAGCTCTCATTGGCACGTATTCCATTTCACATGTGTGCAAGCTCTTAGTAGGATAGATTCCTAGTGGTGGAATTACTGGGTCAGAGGGTATGCAGTTCTGACAGATGTTGCTAAATCGCCCTCCACAAAGAGTGTATCCGTTTGCAACCCCAGTGTGAAGTATGACGCACCCTCTTGGCTCTCCTTCCTCACCAACATACCGTGTTATGAAGCCTTTTTTGAGCGTTGCCAGTCTGACAGGTGACAAACACTATCTTGGTGCAGTTTTCATTTGCATTTGCCTAATTATGAGAGCAGACGAGCATCTTCTCATACGCTTCAGAGCATCTGTATTTCCTTTTTGGTAGCAGCAATTCTTTGAACAGAATGTCAAGGTGAAAGTTTTTCTTCTTCCTTGCTGGCAGTCTCTCCAAGCCTTAGTCTGTTTGCCTCTCTCCCGTTCTTGTCCCGGTACCACTACGTCTTCCCGCAGCTGGATTAGAATTAGTGGGGGGCGGGGGTTGGACAAGACACCGTCACCCCAGATCCAGGAGCAGAGGGGCCACATCCAGTGGTGGTTGAAGCCCACATACGTGGCCAGGCCTAGCACACGTCTCAGTCTTCCTCTGCTGCTGTGAGCCGGGCTTAGAAGGGCACTTCCACAGGTGAAAGGACCTTGTTAATTCCTAAATGCACTGAATGAATGAACAAATGAATGAATGAGTCAGTAATGAGCCTTTACATCCTCAATAAAGGCATCTCTGATTCTGTTTCTCCAGTCTCGTCAGTGCCCCCAGCTACATGTCCTTGCAGATCCTGTGTTTTTCCTTCATAGCACTTATCTCAGTTGTCAGCTAGATGATTAATTGGGCAACTGGTTGTGTAAGGTCTGTCTCCTCTTTGCCAAATTATAAGCCGCTTGAGAGTGGCGACCATGTCTGTCTTTCTTAGTAGTGGAATCACAGTACTGACTCAGTAAACATTGGATGGATGGATGGATGGATAGATGGATGGAATGGGATGAGATGGATGGAGGAGGGATGGAATGGGATGGATGGATAGAATGGCACGGATATATGGATGGATGGTTGGATGGATGGGATAGAGGAGATGGATGGATGGTTGGGATGGAGATTGATGGTAGCCAAGTGGAGGGGTGGGTGGATGAGTGCAAAGGTGGGTGGATAAAGATAAATGTGTGGGTGACTGGGTGGATGGGCAAATGGATTGACAAGACGGTTGGGTGAATAGATGGGTAGATGGGGGAATGGATGGGTGGATGAATGGATAGTTGGATTGATGAATAGAAGGACAGATGCATGCATGGATAGATGAAGAGCCCACTGGGCTAAAGGAACATCCTATCTCGCCTTCAAAGGGCCATCAAATTAAGCTCAGTGGGTTACTCACACCCACCACCTACCAACCGGCTCCCAGAGCTGGGGCCTGAGAAGCAGATTGTCAGTTGGAGCTAGTCAGGCAGACACTGAGCATGTCCAGAGGTTAGAACTCTCCGCTCAGACGGAGCACACTCGCCTGATCGGTCACTCCACAGTATTTATGGCATGCCTCCTGCCAGCCTACAGGGGGTCAGAAAAGGGCATTTTGAACACAAAGTCAGAAATCTGCCTTTAAATAAAAGCCCTCCTTGCCAAAGGGAAGAGTCAGAGTATGTTACAGAACAAACTGCCCTCCGGTTCTTGGTCACTACCAGGAGTTTGGTTTCAGAGGGCTGGTGATACAAAGGAAAGAGGGCAAGAGTATAACGACCCCCGTTGATTTTTTCCTTACACATGCCTCACACTTGATGCTTTATGATAGGCTTTACCTGTTTGCGTCCTTACGATACCTTGTGGGGGAAATAGTAGCCCTGTTTTACAGAGAAGGAGACAGGCTCAGAGAGCCTGCTCTTAATCTTTGAGCAAGACATGGGGAGTCTGGATAGAACTTGGGATCAGGGTGGGGTAGCCTGTCCCACCCTAGGGACACCTCTCCCAACTCCGTGCTCCAGGAGACACAGCCAGGGAACTGTTAACGATCCAGCACCACCTGCATTCCCCACTGACCACAAACCCACCCAGCCCTACACTTCCCAGCTTGGAAGGACCCCTCCTCCCCTTCCCTCTGTAGGGGCTCATTCCTTTCTCCAAATGCTAGAGGCAGTCCTGGGTCATGAACTCCTCCAGCCCAGCCCCTGGGTGGTCCTGTGTTCTTTGAATCTCTTAATTTGGCACCAGATTTGGTCCTGCCTGATTATCTGAGAAGGAAACTGTGAGCTCCTGGAGGCCAGGGACCAGGTCTTCATCATCCTAGTATCTCCAGGATCTCCCACCTAACCTGCCTGGAAAGGCATTGTTTGTCAGAACCCCTACTCTGTGCAGGCTCAGGGCTGGGCAGTGGGAAGACAACAGCAGCAGTGGGCCCGCTGGGTCTGCTGACCCCTGGGTCCTGCCCTTCAGCCCATGGTGAGAATTTGGGCATGGGTATCCAGACTCTGTGTGGCCTGCTCACCTCCTCTCCCACACTCCCCTACACCCACCTCACTGTAGCCACATTGGCCATCCTTGAGAGCCTTAAACGCTTTCCCATCTCAGGAGCTTTGCACATCTGTCCCCTTCAGCCTGGAATGCTCTAGCCCCCACCGCCTCTCGTCACCTAGTTAATTCCCAAACATCCTTCAGACTTCAACACAAGTGTCACCACTTTCAAGAAGCCTTCCTCGACTACCCCCTAGATCAGACTAGTCCCCCTGTAACATACTCCTATAGCATCATGGAGCGCTTCTTTAGAACACTTTCTACAATTAGGCACCTACTGCATACTGTGCCAGAATGGGTTTATAAGAAGCTTACAGTCTGCCATGGAGAGACAGATAATAAACAATAAACAGATATAATGTAATAATAACTATTACTGTATAATAGCCAAGCCAACACTTATAGAAAACTTATTATTTGCCAGGCATTCATTGGTCTAAGTGCCTTTTTTTAAACTTTTTAAAAAAACACTTTGTTTGGATTTTTATATTATCAATTTTATTTTAAAAGATCTCAAACCTACGGAAAAGTTGAAGGATAGTAGAATGAATACCCTTTTATCCTTTATCTAGATTCACTAATCGTGAACATTTTACCACATTGCCTTTTCTTAGTATAGATTTTTCCCCCTAAACCTGTTGAGAATAAGTGGCTGACATTTTGATTCTATCATCCCTAAATATTTCAGCAGACATTTCCCAAGAACAAGGACATTCTCTCCCATAGCCCCAATTCTACTATCACAGTATCAAATTTTTAATTGATATAAAATACTAATATTCAAATATATATTCAAATTTCTCTAATCGTCTTCAACATCCTTCATAGCTAGGTTTTTCCCCACATCCAGGATCCAATCAAGAATCATATAGTGCGTTTGATTGTCGTGTGAAAGTACTTTAATGTTAGTTAATCTTCCTATGAGGGCAGTAGTAGTATCCCCATTTTACAGGTGAGGAAAAAGAGGCACAGGGAGGTTAAATCACTTGTCCAAGTTATGTAGCCAGAGGGTAGTGGAACCCGTTAATGTTTCCAGTCTCCCCATGCTTCTCTTGACCCCTGTGGTCTGTTCTCAACCCAGCTGCCAAAGGCATCTTTTTAAAATACAAATCATATCAAGTCAGCCCTCTACTCAAAACCCTGCCATGGCTCCCTGCTTCTCTCAGAATAAAAGCCAAAGCCCTCCCAAGGCCCTACACAACTCTCTGACCTCATCCCGCCCTCTACCCCCAGGCTCAGCCCCACTCTCCTTGCTGTTCCTCCAGCACACCAGGCACACTCCTGCCTCGGGGCCTTTGCACATGCTATTCCCTCTGCCTGGAGCACTCTTTTCCCAGATATCACCAGGGCTCATTCCTCACCCTCCTTCAAGTTTTACCTAAATATCAGTATCTCAGGAACATCCTTCCAAGTCACCCCATTCACCATCACAGGCCTCCCAAGCCCTCTTATCCCCCCTTCCCTGCTTTTCCATCTTAGCACTTACCACTGGCAGACTCTGCCTCTTAGAGATTCCTCTTGCTAGTTGTCTCCCCAGCTAGAATACAAGTTCCATGAGGGCAGGAATTGTCTGTATTGTTCACTACTGGCTTCCACTCCTAGGACCGAGGCGGGCACAGGGTGGATGCTTGGGAAAGTGACTCCACTGGTCCTGATTGCTGTCCCCGCAGCACGTGTTCTGTGAGGAGTGCCTCTGCCTCTGGCTGGACCGTGAGCGCACCTGCCCGCTCTGCCGCTCGGTTGCCGTGGATACACTGCGCTGCTGGAAGGATGGGGCCACTTCGGCACACTTCCAGGTGTACTAGGGCTGAAGACTGACGCATCGATGCTCCCAGGCACACCAGGGAGATGACGGAGGGTCAGTGGTGTTGGGTCCAACTCCGGGGGCTTCCTGGGAAAAAGTCCTCAAGCACTGACTGTCCTCCTTCCTGCCTCTCTCCATCTCTTCCTCTAAAGCCAGGCCCCTGTCCCCTTCCCCGCCTTCACCTTCTCTTGTTCTGATCATGGTGTGCGCATCCCACCCCCACACACGGGGACGCCTTCTCACTCAGACTCGGTCCCCACCTATGTAGGTCTCCCACTTCCCTCCAAGTCAAGGAACTGGTAATGGACCAAGTCCCACCTGTTGATTATTTTAACTCGTGGTGACCTAATACCTGATGCTGCAAACTAGAGAGAGGCCTGGAGATCCCGTCTCCCCCTAAATGGCCCAAGTCCGCAGATGAGAATCACTGTGAAGTATTTTCCAAATACAGATGCTGGGCCCCACCTTATACCTACAGTAACTACGCGTACCAAACACTTAGTGTGAGCCAGGCACAGCACTGAGCCTCCTGCCCGGACGACCCGCTATAATCCTCACAAGAGCCCTATGGCAGAGGTACTGTTTCCTTCGTTTCACAGATGAGGAAACTGAGGCATAGAGCTCCATGTGGAAACTTTCCCAGGGTCACCCAGTGAGCACTGATGGACCAAGTTTCCAGCCCGGGCCTGTCTGGCTTCAGAGCCTGACTCTTAATCACATGCTGACCCACTGCTCAGACACTTCAGGTGTGGGGTCTCCCAGACATGTTTCCTTAAAAGCACAAGAGGTGATTCTGACGCCCATCAGTGGCTCAGGTGCATAGCACGTTTGATTTGGACTGCACTGAGAATGCTAATAGTGAACACTAGCTCCTGAAATCTAGTCATGGTTGGGTCCATGGAAAGACGTGGTCCTTAAAATTGCTGTTTAGCTGGACTCTGCCGGGGATGCTCAATCATGATTGGCTATCAAGAAAGGCCAGCTCTGGTGCAGATGCAGATGTCATGGGGTGTCCACTCCCATCTTTATTTCTCTCCTCCTCCTTTTGTCCTGTCCCTCACTTAAGACTCAGGTGTGTCAACAGCTCCTGTGGCCATTGCCTTCTCCCCTGGTAGCCTTCAGAGCAAAAGGCATGATCCATGTTATGGATTTTTCCACAAGCCAGGGTGATGGTATAGAGCACAGCAGTGATCAGTGTTTCTGGAATCTCTATACCAGAGCTACTAATCTCTGTAACACAAGTTCTCCACCCATGAGACCCTCCCTGCTCTGAAATCTGGGAGAAGGCACAAGTGATCCCTTAGAAGCCACTGGAATCTTGTCTGCCCTACCCGCCTCCCAACTCTATTCTCTCATTGTCAACCTCAGCACAACAGGCTAGCGCCAACGGCATTACAGAGAAAGCAATCTGTGTGGCTACTGAGCGGATTAGCAAGAAAGCCCCAGGAGAAATGGTGGGAGCCTTGCTGCCACCTCACTCTCAGCCAGTATTCACGTGCCCATCCTGTCCCCAAGAGATTCATCACATTCACCCCTGTGTGCTGTCAAGCCAGGACCTTTTCCTTTGCCTGACATCCCTGGCTATTTCCTGACACCCAGCAAGGCATCCCTTCCAGGGCAGCATGGCATCTTTCAAGCTCTGTTACTATGGCAATGGCCACGATGTTACAATCCCACTTGCCTGGATAATCAGCTCCGAAGGGGAAGTGGAGGGAAATGGGGCCAGGCAGATTCGACTGCCCTGTTCCCCCTGCCTTGAGGAAGAACTGAAGGGAAGCAACAGGAGCTTCTGCAACTGGTTTTTATCAGAAAGATCGCCCTGCCTGCAGATGCCATCAAAGAAGCATGAGAAATTGCAGCTAGAGAAGACTTACTTATTAAAAGTGCCAGCATGTGACAGAGCAGATAGACCGACCAGTCTGTTGGGAGTCAGGCCTGGAATTCTGATTCCAAACTCTGCATGACTTTGAGAAGTCACTTCACCTCCCTGTAGCCATCTCCAGGGCGACAAAGCCTAGTGTATTGTCTACTGGAACCAGGGAAACTAACAATGTAGATTACTGGTGAATACCCCAAGGGTTTTGTCAATTACACTCATGCCACCAAAAAAACCCTCTAACATTCCACAAATAATGAGCCATGTCTCTGACACTCTAAAGAGTGTCACATGTGGGGAACACTCGGGGGCGGGGGTG